GAAGTTGCAGAAGGAACGCATCACCGTCCTGTTTACCACCAATGCCTCCGGTACCTGTAAGCTCAAGTTATCGGTGATCCACACAGCACGCAAGCCGCACGCCTACAAGAGCATGGACATGACCAAGCTAAATGTCCACTGGCTGACCGCACGTAAGGCGTGGATGTTATCTACTCTGTCCCTCTCCTGGTTTGATGACTGTTTCGTTCCCAATGTGAAGAAATTCGGTGAGCAACAGAATGTTCCATTCAAGATTTTGTTGCTGCTTGACAACGCACCAGGACACTCGCCCCTACTGTTAGATCGTCACCCCAACGTAAAAGTGGTCTACCTTCCTCCCAACACTACGTCTATAATACAGCCTATGGACCAAGAATTGATCTGTAATGTAAAAGCTGCATTCTCTGCCAAGAAATTCAAGCTCCTGAACGACTACACCAACACCAAGGAAGAGTTGCATAACCTGAGTGACACCAACACCGATAGCAAGAGCGAAGACGACGAGGATCAACAGTTGGCAGAGCAAGAAGTACTTGCGAGACAATTTTGTTGAACATTCAACGTCAAGAACGCTGTGGACTTCTTGGTGGAGGCATGGGATCAGCTGTCTGTAGCAACTGTTCGTCACACATGGAGACATGTGTTGCAAGGTATTCCAGGTGTTAGGCAGAGTAAATCTGTGACTGGTGAGGTTCAGACTGTTGCAGTAGCAGTGGACCTTGCCAGAGAACCTGCGCAGAGTGTTACAGCTGCAGGCTTCTCCGAGACCACCAACGACGACATCCTGGAGGTGATAAGGGATCCTGATGTGACTACCGACGAGACGGTAGATGATGATGACGTCAGTGAAGAGGCAGGTGGTGCGTCATCCCAAGAAGAACGCCAGTTATCCCATAGTAATATAAGGGGTGCCATCGAGTGTATTGAGAAAGTCAAGCTCCTCCTTTCCGACGACCCTGACGCTAACAGGTATGAAATCTTCACTACCCAGCTGTTGCAGACTATGGAGCCCTACATCAAGGTTTATCACAACATAAACACCAGCCGTCAGCAAAGCATAACCGAGTTCTTCGCCCGCAACCCACCACAGCCAGCCCAAGCCAGTGATAGTGACAGACAGACAGTGATGATGACTTCGAAGGATTTGTCAGGGAGGCACGAGTAAGTGTAGATGACAGCGATGAAGACTCACCTGAGGGCCAGTAGCCTGCCCTCTGCCTCGGAACCAGCCTCCATTCCCCTACGCCGACCCATCTCTTCTACTAACGTAAGTGTAAACCCCAACCTTGTTTTTTCTAACCTAACCTTCAGTATATTATTCTCTTAGTGATTGTTCCCTTCTATATTGTGTGTGTGAATACCATCATAAAGTTAAGATGTTATTTTTATTAAAACGTATGTATTGTGTCAGGAAAAAGTGGAGTTCGGGGGTCGGCCCGGTCTCTATTTCAATTAATCCCATATGTTATGTTGTTCACTTTACGCGGGCCGCCGTGGGTTCAATTAACCGCGTAAAGTGAGGGTTCACTGTAATGAGAAAAGAAAGCAGCTGTGCAAAGTTCTTTCGACAGCTTTATTATTCGAAGGCCTAAACCATCAACTTCAGCTACACCATCAATTTCAGCATCATAAGCAGCTTAAACAACAACTTCAGGTTCAGTAACAGTTTCAGCAACAGCTTTTTGGAAAGATACAGCTTCAGCCAGAGTTGAACCTGATGACTTCGTCATCTGAGTAAAAACTCACACATCATCATTGGCTGTCCTTATGTTTCACACTTTACCACCATTGGTGAGTAGAATTTTGTTTTACATTCATAAGTATTATTCAAAACATATACGAACAGGAAATAAGTGTTGCTTTCATATTCTTATGTAGAGAAATGACGATATGTTTTCACATGTACGCACTTACATACGTTGGCGTTCCCAATCGTCTCGCTTTATTTCTTTACCATTAGTGGTTAGTTACTTCTAGTGTTCCATTTATTAACATTAAATAACACTGCTTAAAACTTAAATACAGGTAATCATTTTTTTTTTACATTAAGTTCACTATAGCTACAACCAGGGTCTTATTTTCTTCAGTTTCTTATGCAGAACTTGTGTGTTTTAATATTCTACATATTATTAATGAATTGCATTGTTCATTTCACATATATAAACATGAATTCAATTAAATACATATTCAGTAATAAACAATAATGAATCTTTTGTATATACAGCCACTACTCGACTTACAACCACCCGGACATACGACCGCTCCAGTAGTATTATTTTTTTTCAAATTACTTATTTTCGAGTCCTGACGTTAGTGACTGCGCTGTGTACTGACAAAATTTTCATTTGAAATTCACCTTAAAATGACTGGCAAGCTTAAAAGCGAGAGTTTTGTGGTGCTGAGAAGAAAAAGAGACACCCATTTTAGATTTTCTATGTACAGTAGTACCCCGATTTACGCGGTCAATTGAACCCACAGGGTACCGCAGAAAGTGAAAACCTTGTAAAGTGAACAACAGAACATATGGGATTAATTCCAATAGAGACTGGCCCGACCCCCAAACTCCACTTTTTCCGACACAAAACCTTAAAGTAAAAATAACATCTTAATTTTATGATGGTATGCTCGCACAATTAATATTTAAGAGAAATACAGTCGCCAGGTTAATGTCCATTCAAATAATGGACTCAAATCTCCCCCCCCCCTCTTCCCAGCTCACTAGCTCCTACCTCTGAGAAATGTTTGGGTGAAAACACTAGATTTTAACATTTAGTAATAAATAATACCTCAGACTAAAGTTAGGATAATATAATTGACATTTCTGGATTCCTTGCAGGTCAGGGAATATTTTGAATGTAAACTTCATATATTTTGCACAAAAGATAAAATATTTGCTTTGTGTAAACCAAATTATTACATTAGATCTAAAATTTGTATGTCTAATGCAAAATCCATGATGTTTATATTCAAAATGATCATCATATTGTAAGAATTCCAGCAATGTAAATTATATTCTGGCCGGGTAATTTGTATGAATTTTAAGAGCTAAAAAAAAAAAAAAAAAAAATTATACTTCACCGCGTATATGAGTAGATGCACTGCGGAAAGTGAAAGTCCAGTTCTGGCAAGGTACCGAGTAAATGAGAAATTGAAATCGCAGAAAGTGAAACCATGTTAAGCAGGGTAATACTGTATTATTTTCACATTTTCGACTTACGACCAATTGAACTTACGACCTGAACCTGGGTCCCTAAGCCTGTCTTAAGTCGAGGAGTGGCTGTATTCTTAAGATAAATGACTTTCTCTGAGTGAGCACGTATACATTGGTGTTCCTCTATGTCTCACTTTTTTCTTTACTATCAGTGGTTACTTCTACTGTACATTAATAACATTAATTAAAACGTACATATTTTTTACATAAATTTTACAACAACAACAAGCAGGGTCTTATTTTCTTCAGTTTCAGGAGGATAACTGCCTTTTAAGTGTAAACACTGACAACAATGCCGTCTTGTGTGTTTTAATATTCTACTTACTTTTAATGAATTGTATTATTAATTTTGCGTATATAATGATTTATTCAATCAAATACATATTCAGTAATAAACAAAAATGAATCTTTTGTACACATTCTTTAGATAAATGACGAGGTTTCCTTAAGAGCACACGTATATTTTGGCATTCCCAATCCATCTCACCTTTTTTCCTTTGCCATTAATGGTTAGCTACTTCTATTTATTAACATTAAATAACATTACTTAAAACAAAACATATTAATTTTTTTACATTAATTTTACTACAGCTACAACCAGGGTCTTATTTTCTTCATTTTCTCATGTAGAACCATCGTCCCGGACTCTGAAAACATTGGCGTCCCATCTCCTCTTGTGTGACCATATTATTATTCATTTATATTGTGTAAGGTGCATTAATAAACATTATTTAAAGAATATAGTTTGCATTTTTCATTAATTTTATTGTTGGGGGGGGGGGGGAAGCATAAAAAGCCACACAAAAGATATGAAAAGATCACACTTGGGAAAGCATCTCATTATTATTGCTTTATTTTAGTGGTAATTAATGATTCACGATACGATGATTCACCTTAAACTGCAATATTGGAGGACACATTACCATCATTATTCGAGACTTTACTGTAATATATATTGTTCAAATTAAGCCAGTATGATTCTGGGAAGCTTGTTTGTGACATAAAGGTGTTGTAACCCATTGTTCATTAACCTGGGCATTCCTGCACTCTTGTATTTAATTCCTTCACTACACATCCATATCAAGGTTAATTAAAATATAACCACTCCCACCATTTTTAATCTGCCATTTTCATTTCTTCTCTTTAAAACCTTAAGATAATTTTTTGTCTCATCATTCACTTCCTATTTTTCATTCCTGTGTACTGTATTTGTACCTCACTCAATTACACTCTCTTAGGGCCTACTTGCACTTGAGGCCAGAAGCAGACACTTCTTTGAGACTTCTGCCAAGTACACCTGCCACAAAAATTTCTCGAGCAGTTGGGCACGACAGATTTCAAAATGAGCATTACGGCTCGTGTCATTTAAAGGGTTAGTGTGCCTGGATGCGAAGTGACTCAATATTTTGTAATAGTATATATTGCTTGTCTTAATAGTATTTACAGGTAAAAACAAGTAATTGAATTTGCAATAAAACTTCCTCAGAGTAATGATCAGATTTCTCATTTCTTTTGTCATATGGTATTACCCTTAGAGCATTTGAGAACTTTTTGTGGCGAGTGTACCTTCCATTTGTTATTACTGTACAGTATTCTTACTTGCATCAAATACTGTAATGGAATGGCACTAAGGATACCACTCATCAGACATTCATATTCCTCCACTCACTTCAGTTTTCAATCCCCCCATTACATTATCATACAGATGCTACTTCGAGTTTTATTCTTAAAATTATCTTACCTAAGTTACCTCTAATCAATATACTGTACAAAAACAATTTTAACTTACCCTCACTGTCACGTCCCATGAAACGATTTGCAGATGAAGCACCAAAGCTTGTAGCAGTTCCAAAGCGAGGTTCAAATAATGGTGGAGGTTGAGCACTGGGCCCACGGAAAGGTTGCCCCCCACGCATCATCTCTTGTTGCTGTTGCTGCTTTTGGAACCTAGGAGGTAACTTACTCTTGAACTGTGAAGAGAAAACAGGCTGTTGGTCTCTTGGCCCATCTCGCCTATCATAAGGACGTTCAAATTGGTCCCGCGAGTGGTCCCGATAACTGTCCCTATAATTATCTCTTCTATCTTGGTACTGCCTATAGTCACGTCCACCATCACGACTCTGGGATTTGTCATCCCTTGATTCACTATTGCCTCTTGAGCATCCTAGAACAGAATCTGCCTCTTCCCTTTCTCTTTCATCAACAAAATCAGCACGAGTATCCCACGGGTCCCTATGTTTCTTTCCGACTGCCTTGGTCTGTTCGTATCTCTTTTTCTCTTCATATCGCTTTTCTTCTTCTTCGTAGCGCTGACGTGCCCGTTCAAGAGCAACTTGCACCTCATCCCCAGTAGCACGCTTCTCACGCCAAGTATCCTCCTCTTCACGTGGATGTGGCGCTGGAGAATGTGAAGGTGCATGTGCAGGGTGTGAGGTAGAGTGTGTGGGAGGGTGTACTGCATTAAGTGTGGGAGGATGTGTGGGCAGGTGTGATGAGTTATGAGACGGTGTATGTGAAGATGGAGCATGTGAAGAACCAAGTTGAGAGGGACCACCCCTCATTCCAGAACCTTGAGGGCCAACATAGTCTCTAGTTGGACCTCTTTGATAATCAAAACTTCCACGCTGCTGCTGCTGCTGCTGCTGCTGCCATCTACCTGATTCACCAGGAGAATATCGACGATTATCATGACCTCGACGGTCTTCTCCAGTCTCTCCTCGCCTATTCTCACGGTCTCGAGTTCCTTGATGATTCCTATCCCTCAAGCTTGGCTCTCTATCAGGCTCTCGGTCCCGTGGAACCAGGTGTTCCTCACGCCGTTCTTCACTCTCTCGACCAACATCACGGACCCGGTCTTTTTCCCACCGCTCCCGCCTGTCTGGCTTCCATTCCAAGTTTCGTTGCTTATTGACCTCCTCTTCTGCAGTTCCTTCATCCTCACTGAAGTTCAGTTTTTGGCTTAAAATACAAACAAATTAAAAAATTAATTAGTATCAATATTAAATCATATATAATATCTAGATAAGCAATTTCACTTATGCTGCAGCATCATATTTACCAGTCTGATGCACATAAAACCATGTTTAAGCTGGTAATATTAAAGTTAACAACACCTGGCCACAACAGATATTAAAACAATATCACTGTATTTACTTTACAAAATAACTAGGCCAAAATTATGTATGATATACCAAAATACATTGTTTAAAGCTTTAATTTCTACATCATGACCAGATGATCATTTCTACATTAATGACCAGATGATCATTTCTACATTAATGACCAGATGATCATTTCTACATTAATGACCAGATGATCATTTCTACATTAATGACCAGATGATCATTTCTACATTAATGACCAGATGATCATTTCTACATTAATGACCAGATGATCATTTCTACATTAATGACCAGATGATCATTTCTACATTAATGACCAGATGATCATTTCTACATTAATGACCAGATGATCATTTCTACATTAATGACCAGATGATCATTTCTACATTAATGACCAGATGATCATTTCTACATTAATGACCAGATGATCATTTCTACATTAATGACCAGATGATCATTTCTACATTAATGACCAGATGATCATTTCTACATTAATGACCAGATGATCATTTCCACATTAATGACCAGATGATCATTTCTACATTAATGACCAGATGATCATTTCTACATCAATGACCAGATGATCATTTCTACATTAATGACCAGATGATCATGTCTACATTAATGACCAGATGATCATTTCTACATTAATGACCAGATGATCATTTCTACATTAATGACCAGATGATCATTTCTACATCAATGACCAGATGATCATGTCGACATTAATGACCAGATGATCATTTCTACATTAATGACCAGATGATCATTTCTACATTAATGACCAGATGATCATTTCTACATTAATGACCAGATGATCATTTCTACATTAATGACCAGATGATCATTTCTACATTAATGACCAGATGATCATTTCTACATTAATGACCAGATGATCATTTCTACATTAATGACCAGATGATCATTTCTACATTAATGACCAGATGATCATTTCTACATTAATGACCAGATGATCATTTCTATATCATGACCAGATGATCATTTTATCACTTTAAAGGAAATTTTGAAATTACAAAGTAAAATAACACCCAACTTACTTATAGTCCACCTCTACAGCACTAGTAGCCCAGCCCTCAGCCACACAAGGATCATCTTCAAAGCCCTCCAATTCCTCCTTCTTAATAATAGGTGGTGGTAAAACAATATCTTCATCAGTGGAGCCAGGAGGAGGACCGCCACTCCCTCTGTATCGCTGGTCACGACCATAAGGGAGTCGTGGATGACCAGGGTAATTTGGAGGAAAACCACCTTGGAAATTACCACGCACCATCTGTCCAAAATCCAGAAATTGTTACAACAATGCAACACTGGCACCAGTCTGTGAACCAGGGTAAATTTTCTTTTGCAATATATATATATATATATATATATATATATATATATATATATATATATATATATATATATATATATATATATATATATATATATATATATAT